AAAAAAAAAAAAAAAGAAGAAGAACCTTGAGAAATCCACTTTAGAAATTTTGCCCAAGCTTAGGATGTTAAATATTAAATAATTACATCTGTTTTTAAAAAGGGGAAAAGAGAACGCATTTTATGTCAATGCAAAAATAATCAGATGGGAAAACTAAAATTTTTGCATCTACAAGTTGTTTCAGCACCGGAAGTTACTTTGGCTTAGTCGTTTTTTGGCGATGTGTTTATTTGTTCCAGTTGGAAGAAACTCAGGCCTATCACGGAAAGTTAAACGAGGATCATCTTCTCCATGCGCCGGAGTTCATCATCAAACCTCGCTCTCACACGGTGTGGGAGAAGGAGAGCGTGAAACTACACTGCTCCGTGGCGGGCTGGCCAGAGCCCCGTCTCACGTGGTACGTTACCCTCCTGAAAACTGGTGGACTCTGTTACCAAAACTTGGGTTTATCTCCGGTGGAATATACCGAGCTTGGGCATGCAAGGGTCGGGGGAGGCATCTAGGAGTTTGGAAAGGTTCTCAAAAGTGAGAAGGAATCCTGGGGTGAAAGTTGACATATGGGGAGAAAACCCCTCTTGCCTACAAATGCTGCACCACAGTACTTCATGATTCTGAGTCTTTTACATAAAGTGTTATATTTTAGTCAACCTATGTGCATACCGAAGTATGTCAGTAACCGCTAAGAACCGTTAAAGTTTTGCTTCCGTTGGTGAACTTCGCAGTATAGTAGGGTTTGATGAGCGGAAGCAAAACTGCCTCCTAAGAAATAACTAACGCCCACAGGGCGCCCATCTCACCCTCACGTGCGCTGCCTTCGGTGCTATTTCCAAGGGCAAATGCAGGAGGAACGGGAGGGCAGCCCTCCTCCGACGTGGGGCCCCGAGGTGTCGTCTTCCCAGAGAGAACAAGCACATGCCTCTCCGTCTGTCGCATGTCTTACTGCAGTTGTTGGTGTCTCTGGGATCCCCAGACTCAGACCCTCCCTGTCCAATGTCATGAGCCCATTTAAAAAGATGTTTCCATTCTATCCACTGACACAGGTGTGTTAATGCTGTTTGCTAATCTCGGTGCTTACAGTAAATGCACCCCATGGTCACTGTACAAATGGTCCATGAATGTCACTGTTGCCCTCGGTGCCTCTGTCTTCCGCCTGCATTATTGCTAATGTTGGTCGGACATCTGACTAGCACATTGTAACAGAGGCAGCTGACGTGATGAACCCATTCACCTGCTCAAAGTTCTCAAGGAGCAGGTGGAAAGGTTTTAAAAATTTGCCTGTGATATCAGTTTGCCTTTTATAGTTTTAGATCTACTTACAGTTTTTCTGTGTATGTAAACTCTTTTCAGGGTCCTTGAACTTGAAAACTAAAGAATGAAAACCAAAGCTGGCTAGGAGTTATTAAGGCAAATAATTTAAAGTCAACAAAGGTAACTGGGACTATTTAGGATGATTCCACTCAAAACATTTCCATTTTACAGCAATGCAAAAGCAACACAAGTCCAGTGGAAAATGTGCCTTGAAGTTGTCCTTTTTAAATGTCGAGAGCCGGGTGTGGTAGTGGACACCTGTAATCCCAGCACTCGGGAGGCTGAGGCAGGAGGATCATTGTGAGTTCAAGACCAGCCTGGACTACAAAGTGAGCTCAAGGCCTGAAGTGCATAGCAAGGCCCTGTCTCAAAAAGATTTTAAAAAGGGGCTGGGGATTTAGCTCAGTGACACAGCGCCTGCCTAGCAAGCGCAAGGTCATGAGTTCGATTCCTGGTACTGGAAAAAAAACCTTAAAGAAAAAAAATTTTTTTTTAAAAAGTAAACAAAGTTTCTAGGCGCTGGGAGGCCCAGGGGACGGGCGGGGCGAGCAGGCCCTCGGAGCCGGCCGAGCAGGCTCCCCCAGCCCCCCGCGCCTTGCGCCCA